TAGCTTAGCTCTATCTCCATTTCGAATGGTGAAAGTGATGTGATAAGGAGAAGAGAGCTGGCACCACCAAGTGAGAGCTAGCACGACCACGCCACTCCTTCGCTTTGCGCACGTGCCTTTAGGTCCTTCCTCTGTAACACAGAACAAGGCTACTGCTGCCTGCATTTCACTGGCGTTCACCCTGTGAGTATTTTCTCATTTCAGGGCGAGGAATGTACTTCCCAACTTTACTGACTTTACTGTAGCTGGGAGGACCCTACCGCAGCGCGACTAAGCCCGCCCTTCTGCAAAACCTCTCAGCATGATGGTGATCCATCACACACTCCAGGGTGAACGCCAGTGAAATGCAGGCAGCAGTAGCCTTGTTCTGTGTTACAGAGGAAGGACCTAAAGGCACGTGCGCAAAGCGAAGGAGTGGACGTGGTCGTGCTAGCTCTCACTTGGGGTGTCAGCTCTTCCTCCTTATCACATCACTTTCACCATTCCAAATGAAGAGAGCTAGTAGCGGAATAGTCGCACCACCAGGACTTTAAAAATGAAAGTTGGGCGTTGCCCTAGCCGATGGGCGGAGCCGTGGCCTCGAGCGGGTCGTTTTGCTCGAGGCCACGGCTCCGCCACGGCCACGTATTTTTTAGCTGCGGAAAAAGTACATCTTCCGTGCCTGTGGGCAAGACTGCATGTCCAGAGGAGGCATCCGAATATTGAATGAACGCGGAATGTGCCTCTATTGAGTGAAAATTTGCAGTAATATCAAGAGTAAAATTATTATTTTAGCACGCGTCGGTCTAATTCATATGGGCGTATTTTTGGTGTTACTACTGAGCGGGGAGAGGAATTTTGGTGTACGCCTCAATAAGCCCTACATAGCCAAAGCTGCAATCGATATCCAGGCATTTACTGGCACTCATGCAGATCTACTGATAATTGTAAGTTTTTTCATTTGAAGATCTAGTCACAGGGCACATCATCGCCCCCCCCCCCTTCGCTGAGAAATGAGGGGGGGGGGCGGGAGGTCGTATTTTACCCTTTCAGAACCACTGGGTTCAGTTCTGCTATTTCTGATTCTTTTCGACGGTATGTCCACCTCGATAGACGGATATTGCGTAGGAGGGGGTTGTTTTGGAAATTTCGTCCTCGAGATGATGTGCCCTGGGTAGTCAGTTGCCGATTAATTTGTCACGCCCTTGTTGCTGTTTGTTTTGTTGTTTATTATTGGCCCAAGCTGTTTTAATTCGGAACAAACTATTATTTGAAGGTTTTCCACAAGTTGATCACCACTGGAAATCACCGTCTGCAATCACTGTTCGACTGTTTGCTTACTATAATTGTAAATGGTGAGTTTGAGATGTTTACTTTTTATTGACAGATTGTCTTCTGGGAACATGCTACAACTTTTTCGGTATCCATCAAATTTTTTTCCTTCAGTGTCTCCGTACCTGAAATCACTTTCTATGGTGGCAGCCAATAAGCTGCTTCATCTGGTTGAAGCATTTTCTACACCTTGGTTCCTGTTCTCCTCGCCCACGAACCATCACCTGGTGTTCTTCCTTTTGGAGGTGTTCAACAACATAGTCCAGTATCAGTTCGATGGTACGTATCTTTCTTTGATGCTGTGTTCGAAGGGGCATTCTCATAGCTCGCTCATTTCTCTTACTAGTCCCTCTTTACTTACACGTCTCGCCTTGCGAGACCTGCGGACTCTTGTCAAGTGTCGAAGCACGCTGCTGCATAGCCTTACAAAAATTTAGGCGTATAAACAGGTTCTCGAGGGAACCAGTGAAATGCTTCAACCGAGCAGAATTGCGCCATATCTTTTCCTATCATGTTGTTTCCTTCCATAACAGTATGCGTATCTGTGGCCTGTTAGTTGAAGAAGCTATGGGAGCTATGTGGCTCGGGGGAAGGGAGGGGGGGGGAAGTCTGCACTTTTGCGTCAACACCATGCTTCCTCGCAAACAGGGCTAGGGAGAACCAGAAAGGGTGAACCGTCTAAGATGTGAAAAACTGGGTTGCGGGGAGTAGCTCGCTCACCTCCTTTCTCTCTTTTCACTCAGCTCTCTGGGTGCTGACGCAAACTGCAGACTTGCCCCTCCTGAAGCTCATATGCCCCCTCTTCAACACTGCAGTAGTTGCTTCTTGAACTTTTCAGGGAACTCGAATCTTATTTATACGATCATCCGTAAACGACAGGTTTTCTACCAATTGGCTAATCTTCCAACGGATGCCACTTCGATTTCCAAATCTCTTTCCGGCAGGAAAGGAAAAGGTGAGCACTGAAGTATATATTCTTCCTCTCAGATAAGCGACACAAGCGTTTCGGAAGCCGAAGGTTCAGACTTCTTACAGGCACTGTTTGGCGCGAACGGAGCTCCTGCTATTGCATAGCTTACAGGAATTTATAGGCCCCCACAATTTACAGGCTCTCGCATTTAGCAAGCTAACCATTGCGCTACACTGCGCTACACTTCGCTTCCATGATGGAAGCGTGGTCCTCAGTTTGAGGTCCACGCTTCCATCATGGAAGCGAAGTGTTTGCCCCGTAACTCTGCTTTATTGCAGTAACTATACTTGTCGAGCTTAATCGTGCTTTGAAATCTTTTTTCCAGCTAGAGATGAAATAGTGGACCAGTTGAAGAGTCCTACTGCCACAACCCCTCCTGAGATCCCCTCAGGTGCGCTTGTAACCTGACTTTTATCTTTTCCATTTATATCAACCTTCATTTCTAAGGATCGACAGCTGGTCTCGCCGCCACTCCCCAAGTGACAAGTGCGCCAGGATCTTCTGGAGAAACCGATAGTAAAGCAACATCTAGTGAAGGTACGCGGATTTTTGACATTGCTCACTGCCGTGGTTTACTCATACATCTTATAATCGTTTCTTATTTGTGCAGATTGGGTACCAACCTCGGAATGGGCTGATCAATGGAAATCCAAGTTGCCATTGCAAACAATTATGCGATTGTTACAAGTCTTGGTACCACAAGTCGAGAAGATTTGCATAGACAAGTGATTTTTCGATAATTTGATGAATACCTCAAATATTCTAATCAGTGCTGTTTTCAGAGGCCTGACTGATGAAAGTGAAATTCTCAAATTTCTACAGCATGGGACATTAGTGGGACTTTTGCCAGTACCGCATCCCATTTTAATTCGGAAATATCAAGCAAATGCAGGGACCAATCACTGGTTCCGTACGTACATGTGGGGTGTGATTTATTTACGGTAAGTGATCCATTTGTGATTAAATGGAAAATTTCAGCGGTTCTTTCCACGCTCGTCGGGCGGAGCTCGTAGGATTGGGCTTCTCCCATTGCACGCCTTTCTTCCTCACGTCATTACCGTACTTTGCAAATGTGAAGAATTTGCGGTTTCGGAGAATGGCTGCAATGCGAAGGATACCCATCCACCTGGAGGGTCCGCAATTCGAGGGAGTGCGGGGATTCTTGACAATTGGCGACAGAGGGTTAGATGGAAATACGCTTACTGCGTCTATTAGCGTCTCGGAGGATTAATAGTGGAATATCTCTCGTCTATGAAGAATATTATGACAGTACCAGTCGATTTCCGCATAGTCATCTGTTGCGCATTCTCCCGAGTCGCCGAGGTTGCGTTCATACTTTGTGTCAGCGTTTTAAGTGTGCGGCAGCGCTTTGAACGACTAGGGCTATATAACTATGGATCTGGCGCTTTAAGCATAGGGCAGCGTTTTCTGCGACGGCCCGCGAAAAGTACAAACTACCCTCGAAACGCTCAAAACATTGCTTGACACTCAAAACGCTGACGCAAAGTATGAACGCGGCCTAATTCTCCAGAAGCATACTCATACGTCCCCCGCCGTCTAGTCTCTTTAATGGCGGACTCTCAACATTCGCAAGGTCTCGAAAGAAGGGGCCACAAAAGCGAGAGACTTAGCCGTGGGTCCGACCTCCCGCCCCCAATATGAGCGTGGAATGTGCCTTTGAGGAACAAGTATGCAATTTTTAAGTTCTCTTCAATACTGGAAAAATTTGTTTTAGTAACACTGACCCGCCAATATGGTACGACACTGAAGTGAAGTTGTTCGAGATTCAGTGATAATGTGGATCTCATTTTTACTTTATAATAACGGATTACAATATTGGAAAATAGTATTTATTAGTTAATGTCAATTTCTACTATTTGTCCGTCCTCTCTTAGTCGTTGATGATACTTACTATCATATTTATTTATTTATTTATTTACACGGAGTCATAGTCACGTGATGTGCAGTGGTTTGGATTGTTTGTGAACAAACTGGAAATTTAGTGTATGTATCATATCATTAGTAGAACACGTGGTTCCTGTTCTGTACTGCATCCTTCTTCTCTGAATTTTTCTCGACTTTGTGGGTGCTTCAGAACGATATCTAATGCTTGGCCATAAGTTGGACCTACTCTTACTTTTCATTTTTCCTTTTACTTTTCCTCACTTCTCGTCGATAATTTTCATCGTACGGTGATAATAAAGAGCTATCTTATGTGTTTTTTTGCTTCAGAAAGGTAACAGCTGCAGTGATAATTCAGCGGCCGGATAGCTCATAATTCCAAAAGCGGGTGTTACGTTGAATGGGAGGCCGAGCTTCCAGGCTAACATCATTGGCGGAAAAGCGTTGGATTATTTCTTCGAGGGGCGCAGCCTGAATCCTTCCATCTAATCGCTTTCGAGCCAACATCTACCCCCTTATCCAACGCAATCGCTGCGTTTACTGTTCTCGGGAAAGAAGGTTTTCAGATTCGCCATCACGGCACGTCCTGCCACTAGGAAGACGTATGGCGAAACACGCTCCCCCTCATCCGCTTAGCGAACAAGTACCACGCCTTCGCTGGAGGTCCCTAACGTACGACGTGCCCTGTTCACCATATCCTGTCAGCCTCGCTCGGTTTACTTCTTGTTCTGAGATGGTGAGACCCGCCCTGCGTTGACTAGATGCAGCGTTCGCGATCACCGAGCGGGGTGGGCGGAGTTAGGAAGCGAGGTCATTAGGGCAACTTCTCCCTCGCCTTCTTCACCGCAGGCAGAGGAGGGGGGGGGGGCATCAGTGACGTCGCTTCATGACGCTGCCTACCGAGCAATCTCGTACAGTTATGGAGATGCTTCCGTCTGTAGTAGGTGCTTTTGGAGGGCTCTCTATGCAAATTTGGGATTACCGCCTGCGGGAACTTTTTTGACTTGAAGGAAAGGGTTCACCTATCATGCTGCCTCCTCTATCCGCTAAGGAGACTAACCTCCCCGTACTAGGCTAGTCCGAATTTGACACAGAGAATCCCTGAACGCCTCTTCTTTTTTTACTGTAGCACCGAACTTTTTTTGCTAAGATTTAGCTTGCCTTGGAGGGAAGCTAGGTGTAGCTAGCTAGCTAGTGCAACGGAATGAGGAGCACTACCTTATTCATTGCCCTCAGATTCCGCGCTCCATGGGCAACGCGCCGCGACCGCATCGTTTCCGTTTCAAGTTTTTGAAAATGCTTGTTTCTTTGCGATCATGTGGAAAACCGTGTAAGCGGGTTTTTTTGCACCGACTGAAGGTTTTATTTGTGAAAATGGATCTTGTAAGCTCTAGTCTTCGTAGCTCTATGATTAACTTTACTGCATTTCCATCGAGACAGGCGTTCTTCTCCGAATTAGACACTTTTCCTGCTTTATATTTCGTTTGAATTTTGCAGAACCTTAATTTATGTTCGGCTAATTTTTTTACCAGTCCTTGATTTATTTTAAAGCTTTTAAAGCAAGAAGAGGTTTTTTTTGTTGTTAGTCGACAGATTTCCTTGTGAAGAGATCGGTTTTTTGCGGCGTTTTTTTTTAATTGTTTCGGGTTTTAGCAGGGTACTTGTTCAAAATCAGCTGTACTGGAAAGTTCTTGAGGTCTTTCTGACTCTAGATTGTAGCTCGATTTCACTGAGGACCACTTGAGCCCACACTACTGTACGCACTAAAGTTTTCCCGTTGTCGAGTCGTTGCATTCTTCGAAATTGTTAAAGTGAATTGAAATCGTGCTGTCATGGCCCCAAAATGTCAACCTTTCGCTTTAACTATGTTTTCAGGGGTTACCCCTGAGCTTTGACCACAGTTATGACACCATTGAGTGCGATCTGGCGCAAACTCAGCACCGGTGCCAAATGTTAGCCCGTGAAAAAAATGGGAGGAAGGTGGGACGGTTAAGATACCCGTGACTTAGCCGGCCCTCCAAGCATGTTTCGCGGTCGTTGTCCATCTGCGCTTTTTCTGTGGGCCCCGGAATGACTGTTCTTAGTAATGCATTATCTATTAGTGCATCCAGGACCTGAACGATCGCCTTTTGACGCGGGCTTCACGTCGCACGCGGCGCTCGCAAGCGCGGGTATTCGATTGTCTTGTCACATGTCTCCAGGTTGTTGTATTCAGAATCAGAGAACCAAATGAAACATGCATGTTTACAGCAAGGTTGCTGCGAAATGGCATCCAGTCCGAATGTGTCTTGATCAGGGGCCTGTCTCATCCCAACCTCCCCCCCCCACTTTCCCGGCCACTGTGTAAGTTTGTGACTTGTAGTATTAATATTATGATTCCACCCATATTCGGGGTGTGTTATAAAACGTGGAAGTAGTGTAATGGCAACTAGCTCATGGGTCACACCCCTGATTCCCGGCCACTCTCACCAACACCGTATTAATTGCTGAATACCAAACTAGCCTTGAAAGTTCAAAACCCTGGTCCATGACACCCTTCCACCTTTCAACCATAATTATGTTCGTTTGCGTTTCGTTTTTTCGTTTTTTCATTCGTTTCGAGGGGGAGTTGGGCCTTTTTAGCGGCCACCGAAAATGGGTAGCTTAGCAAAGCTTGCAGCAAGTACCGTTGTTAAGGTTTCTGTACGTTTCTGGTCACCCAAGTAGCGGCAGTATATTGCATCTTCTCAGGAATTAACAAGCGTCTCGCTGTAAATGAAGACTTGTCTATGGAACTTGACAAGCAAACAGAGTTGCGGGGTAAATGCGAAATGCCCCTCTTAAGCCGAACAGCGTCTTATTTGATACAATCAGAGGAACGGGAACAAGACGTAGGTCACAAATGATGTCAAGAGGCGGGAAGCGCGGAAAAGGAGTGGATATCGGCTAGTCTTCTTAAGTCATTGCATGGCTCAAATACGTATTCAACTGACTCCAAAATTCGGACTGAAGTTCGATTATGTGGCGCATCCCAGTAGAAGCTATCCTAAGATCAACTATCGCGGATTTCTCTTAAACTAACGCGGTTTCCGTTGAACACTCGAAATCAGGGCCGAAATTTTGAAATATGACCCCTACTCCTACAATCGTGACAAGCTAAAGCGCATTTCAAGGTGCAGTCCATATGGGTGGAGATACCCAACCACTGCTCCTGCCTTGAACATGGTTAAGAGGAGGGGAGTGTCAAGAAGGTTGTATGTCTCCGCCCACACGGTCAGCGTGAACTGTGCATTAAACGAGTTTTGATTTGTCAGGAGAACATTCTTGTATGTTGAGCGAGGATTTTAAAAGAAAATCTTGTAAGTGGAAATTTAAGCTCCACATTCTCATTTAACGCTTTCACATTTGACTTTCTTTAGAACAGAGGAGGGACGCTCGAAAAATAAGGTCGCAATTTGTGTATATCCCCGCCCGCAGGGTCAGCTTGGACCATGTCTTCAGGTACATTAAACCCTGCAAAAAATGAACTCTGAACACTTTATCGTTTTTATAGATTTCGGGGACCGTAAGCTGAACATTCTATAAGTCATCCTATTCGTTGTTCTGCTTGGAAGGGGCATTCTGCACTTTTGCCAGTTCTTTATGTGAGTTCATGTTAATTTGCAGGTCTAACTATGGTAAAACCAGTGGACTGTTGTGAAAAAGCGAAATGGGTCAAGTGAGCCACACTGCTCACAGGCATTTACAGGTCTTTACAAAGTAACATGTTCTAGCCTCCCTAAGTACCATTGGGTACCCCCTTGCCTAACTGTGCACGTTATAAGTGATAGCGTATCATTCATTCATCCAACGAAGCCGTAACGAGTGCGGAATGATGTACTGCGAAGTGAGGTAACGCACCAACAAGGATGGGACGGTGGGTGGATTTCCCCGCCCGCACGATTAGCGTGGAGTTTGCCTCCAACTGGAATCAAGGCGCCAATAGATGAATTCTGAACTTTTTATCCCCTCTCAGATTTCTGGTCACACCTTACAGGTTGAACCATCTCTAGCTCATCCATTGTTTGGTGATGTTCGGCTTGGGAGGGGCATTCTGCACTTTTTTTAATTCCTTTTATTATTTCATTTTAATTTAATTTCTTTTATGTTAATTTTATTCTTAGTTCATTTTAATTTACAGGACTCTTGTGAGCTGGGCAAGTTACCCGCGTTACTCCCGGGTATAAACTGGCCTCTACAAAGTGACCTATTCAAGCCTCTCTGAGTACCACTGAGCGCCCCCACCAAACCGAATCACTCTTCTTGTAATTCACGGAAGGGGCGTTATAGGTGCTTCAGATGGATTCCATGTGAACTAGTTCCGTTGTTCGTTTGATGGCATATCTTTATGTAATTTCGGATGTCGTTCAACTACAGAAACGATATGAAGCCGAGATAGCTAATGTGAACCGGCTTTTGTTCATTACGTAGCTGACAGCCTGACTGGGTGGTG